TCAGCGGAACCGGGGGACGATTTATTTCCGAGCCGGTCGTAGGTGCCGTGGCCGGTCCGATAAAATAAAAACGCGCCGGTCAACGTGTCGCACGAGCGCCGAAATAAAAAAGAGCCGGGGCCCGCGTATTTATCGCAGCGCGAACGCGCTCCGAGGATCGATGATGAAGCAAGCGGCTGAGAATACATACTTTCGCCCGGGCGTCGCGCGTTGTTCAAACGATAACCCGCCGACATTCGCGAGCGATACGATTCTATTTTCTTTCCGGTTGTTCCCGCTCGCGGAAAACAACGACCCATCGGCATCATCTGTCTTCTCCTCGTTACCGCGAGCCGAGCAAATATTTCCCCGCGATCTTTCTCCGCGAAGGCGAACGGTTCGAAAAACGGTCCACGAAATTCGGTCGTTCGGGCGAGAAACGATCGACCCCCCGCACCCCCGCGGCCACCGATGAATACGAATTCGCGTGGACACGCTCGACTTTTTAATTACAAGCCGCCCTTTGCCGGCGCGAGCGATTTTCCGCACCGCCGGCCATCGATCTCTCGGGACCGCCGCGGAATAAATGGACGCTCGCGAAACTTGCGGAAGAAAGTCGATGTCGGGTGCCGGCCCCTACGGTTAACCAAACCGGATGTGTAATTATGATCGTGTAATTACGTTTCCCGTTGCCCCTGTTCTTGATTAACTGCCTCCGACCGCGATAGGCGAAGCGATGCCCGATGAATTTTCATAAGGGCTCCGCGGCCGTTTCGAGGAACTCGTCGCGTTTTCGGGAGAGATTTTAGTTATAATGGAACTGCCGTGCGGTTGACAGTCACTTCGATCATCGGGACCGTTTCCGAATTGTAAAAGCGACGGTCCGAGATAGCCGTTGCTCGTTCGTTTCGAGAAGCAGAGCGTGCTCTTGCGGAAAGCTTGAAATTACTTGAAAACATGGCGATATTGAAATGATTTTATTTTAAAAGAATTAAAGTAATTTGATTTTAAATTTTTAAATAATTTAAAAACTGTACTTCGAATGTACTGAAAGTGGAGTGTTCTGGCGCGTGAGTGCTTGAAAAAGTCGATTTTTCCATCTTTTTGAAATTAATCTATTTCGATGCCTCCATTTATAATCTTTCTAATCCAAAAAAATGTGTAAATGTTCTTAAAATATGTACAAATAAACCTAGTAAATACGACTGCAAAAAGATCCATAGTTTCTTCGGAGAAAAAAATCTCGAAGAAAATTCAAGAAAAACGCGCTTCACGCTGGAATAGCCAGCTCGAAAAGTCATTAAAAATGTGGCGTGGTTAACAATGTCTCCGACCGTCGTAAATTATGTCTACACAGGAAAAATAACAATCTACATTTTACTAAGCCATACGGTTGCAACGACGCGAACATTTATCCGCGAGCTTGACGGAATAGAACGTGAAAAATGAAAGAAATTTCGATCGCAAGTTTCGGACGACTCGAAGAACTCGTTCCATAATTGCGGACTGAAATAGCGTCGGAGAACGGATTCTATGAGGCGAGTCAGGTGTTACCTGACACGAGCAGCTGCGTTTACAAGCCAGCACCATCGACAGCCCAGGACCATACAAGTCGATGATCAATAAGATTGACGCGTTAGACAAGACACCGACAACCAATGAGTTGTCACCGACACAATGTCGCTCATCCCGCAGAACCGATAATGCTGAAATTAGAATCAACCGACCCGAATTCGGAGCGCGCGAGCGGTAGACGCACGTAAGACTCGATACGTACAGTAATGTTTCTCTAATTGACGCTCAGATTGTACGCAGAAAAGGACAATTTGGAAACGGAAAATGCGATTATTCGAGCCTCGAACCTCATTTTTATAATTTCCGATCGTAAACAATTACAAAAACGAGGCGCAAAGCGCAATACAGTGATGTCAATAGGATTTGCCGAAAAATTGGGAGCCTGGATGCCTCACGAGCTTAATGAAAACAAGAAAGAAAATTGCTTGATAAAAACGCTACGAACTTATTCCCCAACCCAACAGTTGCTGATTGTCAACAATTATAAAAACGAGGGGCAAGGCTCGAGAATAATCCTATCTCCTCTTCCCAAATTGTCCATTTTTGTGCACAATCTGAGCGTCAGTTAGGGAGACATTGCTGTACTCGGAGACTCTGAGATGGCGGAATAATGCTGCGGGGCCCGAGAGAGAGAGAGAGAGAGAGAGAGAGAGAGAGGCAACAATGCGTGTTGTTTCTACACGGTAGAACGAGACACCGCAGGCCTCGGTAGATAGGATTCTACGCGCACTAAACCTGTCGATGATTTATGGAACCGCTAGGGCCTTTCATAGCGCAGAAACTTATCGCGGCGCAGGAAGGACGTTCGTTCTGTTAATCGCATGCATAGACCGCGGGACCTCTATGCAAATACGAATTTTTATGAATCGATCAGCGAGAGGCCGGCCGGAAGTTTAGGCGCAATCTATAGAACACGGTCTGCTATTAATTATCATTTTCGTTCCGTTTTGCAACGAGCACAATGTAGGCGTAGAATTTATAGACTGGTCGAACTGCGAGAAGAAGTTGCAGTTTGAACGTAATGAAATGAAGCTGACTGAAATAGTTATTTAAACGTTCCAGCAATTATGCTGAAAATGATATCGAAGGAGGTTGTTGCTTAATCGCTTTTTTAAGATAGAAAATACTGCAAGCTCCACGATGCGTGTACTTTTAAACGAGGCGCTCGTTCGAAAAGAAATTCTACTCATTTTTTTTAGAAAAAGAATTCTTAAAATCTATATTATGTTACTTTTCTTGGTTAACCAGTTAGCCGTGTTCGACGAGTATACTCGTCATCGCTCGATTCTCGCGACACATACAGGTGCGCGCTCTGAAAATGAGGCGCCACAGCTAACTGGTTAAACGAAATGTTCAATTCAAATGTTCGATTGCGCGTCCAATTGAATTTTCCTTCAGCACCGCACTTTTATATCGGTGTATGCGAAAATTACAACTCCAAGATACAACGCGTTTCGCGAAACCAGCGTCTTCCGGACGAATTTATCGTTCTTTCAACTACCATAAATTGTTAAACAGTTCCTCGAGGTGTGGGATTCTTTCGCCGTGCGAGATATTTTCGCAGCTTTGCGCCGGGATTACTCGGCGGTGAGAAATGGGACGAGGGATTTGTCCGAATAAAGACGGTATCACGGTACACTTCGGCCGGTATCGGGTGCGACGCTCAAATTAAAGGACCAATCTCACCCTCTGCTCATTTAAAAGTCTGATTTAATCGGCCCTCCGGGGCTCTCCCCCGGAGATTATTCGTCTAGGATCGAATCGAATTTGTATCGCAAATTGTCCCGCGTTAAAATTGATTCACGGCCATTTGTATGCGTGCCTATTTGCGCCCGATATTCTTCGCCCCCCTCACCGTCCCTCGAAACCGCCCGTTTTCCTGCTGTTATCCACGCGTGGTAACAACGCCGCGAATGTTTTTTTCTCAATAACGAGTTTCGGACTTTTCGTCGTTTTGTAATTCCGCGGGGCTGGGCGGCGCGACCGAGCCGAGCGGAACGATGAATAATGAATCGGAGTTCGATCAGGCGAATTTGCATACGTTACCGCCGCGCAAGGCGAAAACAATGGTCCTTTCCTTCCGCTCGCATGCGCCGAGTCACTTCGGCAAAGCCGGCGCGAAAAACCGAGCGCGACGCACGCGAGTCCTGTCCCGAATCGATGATTAATAAAGATGACTTTTGGGAAAGCATAGCGATGCACGACCTCGCCATCGATCTCGCCAGAATTAATAGACCGTCGTCGGTCCGTTCGGAGAATAATTATTGAACCGCGGATCTTTGCGCGAGATACAAATTCTCTGCCTCGCGTGCAACAAACATGAGTTCAACGTATAAATTTATTTTCAATCTCAACGTTTCGATTCGGTCGGAAATAATGGAACAGCGTCGTTAAACTTTTGTCTCGCATTTAAGCTCGGTCTTCGTACCGCGCGTCCGTGAACCATAATCTCGCAGAATTTTATCTAGTTCTGCAACGGTAAGCGCACTCGCGTCTTGACACGAGATCGCGGTTGATTTCGATCTCGTTTTCACGTCGTCCCGTGAACTGTTAATTTATTTATTTTGTCGTTTACACGCGCTAATATTTTCCTATCTATGACACCTTCCAGCTAAGTCTCCACAAATGTAGGATCAGAGCTTCATAGAATATTAATATATAATGTTTAGTCGAAGAAGATATAACAACGCAATTATTACTAACTTTTACCATATAACACGTATAATTAAATGCAATGAAGAGAACACTCGGATCTTCTCCAAATTGTCCACTTCTGTGCACAATTTGAGCGTCAATTAGAGAGACATCTCTGTACACCGTATCGCTTCTATCGCTAAATTTCAACTTCTGACCCGCGAAGCTCGAATAACCGTATCTCCTGTTCCCAAATCGTCCACTTTTTATGCAAAATCCGAGCGTCAATTAGAGAGAATTCACCGTATTTGCAATCACGCTGAAAGATCAGACTGCGAATGTTTTCGCAGATTGTTCGGTAGGAGGTCTTCTGCGAGTGAATTCCACACTCGTCCCCATCGATAAATCCATTATCACCGGTGTCCCATCTACGGCAGCGGTCTATAGAAACTACAGGACAATAAGATCGACTGTCGGATCGATATTCGTGTCTACGACTTCGATGCCGTCTCATTATCCGGGAGCGGTTCCCGGGAACTTCGATTCGAGTCGTATAAATTATCCGCGCGGAGAATGCCCCGGCACCGATTGAATTTTGAAGAACCCCGTCGCGGGCTCGTTTATCTTCGAATGGGCCCATTAAAATCCTCGTCCGCGGAAAATTGATCTCGTTACAGGGACGCCGGCGAACGGCGGCGACGATGGCACGGGGGTCACGACGGAAGAAGCAGGACGCGCGCGGCAATCTATTTCGATTCCCGGGCCCGAAGATATTACGGTTTTCCGCGGGCTAGTGACCATGTGGAACTTACCGGTGGTGGAGTTGATGAGAAAATAACCCTCCGGATTGCCGCTGGTGATCGAAAACGTGAATTGTTGGGGCGAGACGTCGCGATCGAACGCCCGTATCCGCAGAACGTTCACGCCTGCCGGCGAGTTCTCCGGTACCGAGGGATAGTAGACCGGCACCTCCGTCAACGGTATGTTGTCGTTCTCGTCCAGAACCTCCACGTACACCTGCACAGAATTCGGCTGCGGATTATTTACAAGGCGACCGTTCGGCGACCGGTCGTGGGCGCGCGATCGCGAAAAAAATTGCGAAAAAAAATTCGGCCGGACGAGAAACGTCGTCGGGACAATCGTGACACCATTTGTCCGCGCCCGCGTCGCGCCGGAACCTCCTTTGTGCTCCCGGCTGAATGCTTTGGAAAATGGAAAAGTTTGAAAAGCCGTGGGGGAATTTCGCGCGGGACGCGTAATTGTCGCGCGGCCGAAAGAGATCGGCCGAATCGCGGGATCTCTAAAACGCGCCGGATGTATTCGTTAATTTCTAATCGGCATTGCACTCTGGTAAAACGGAACGTTTATCGTTGCCGACGGAGTTGCGCGGAGCGTTTCGAATCTGCGACACAGAGGCCGGCGAGAGAAGAATCGATGGAATAATATATGTATTTTTATGCGCGAGCTCGAAGTATCGGAGGAAATTTCAAACAGGGAAAAGTTAAGCGTCGGTCCTTGTTGTGCTCCGGCAGTGATGTTTGAAACAATTCAAGTGGTAATTGCTTTGGCCCGTGTACGTTCCAATTACGAAGACTTTTCTTGCGGAACGGCTGGGGTAAATCTGGCGCGAAAGTAAACGCGAACGATCTCGTGTTCGCGATGTAAAGTAATTAAAATTCGCGGTTGGATCGTTCGAACGGAAAGGAATTATGGGAAACGGATGGAAGGATATGTGAACAGTAATGTCTCCGTAATTGACGCTCAGATTATGCGGAAAAATGGACAATTTGGGAAGAGGAGACGCGATTATTCGAACCTTGCAGCTTCGTTTTTATAGTTACCGATTGTCAACAATTATAAAAATGGGCCGCAAGGCTCGAATATTCGTATCTCCGCTTCCCAAATTGTCCATTTTTCCGCAGATGTGTATAAGAGACAGATTCGAACCTTGCAGCTTCGTTTTTATAGTTACCGATTGTCAACAATTATAAAAATGGGCCGCAAGGCTCGAATATTCGTATCTCCGCTTCCCAAATTGTCCATTTTTGTGCTCAATCTGAGCGTCCATTACGGAGAAATTACTGTGCAGAGAATCGGAAAACTCTCATAATTGTTACAAAGTGCAGTAATGTCTCTCTAACTGACGCTCAGATTATGCAGAAAAATGGACAAGTTGGGAAGAGGAAATACGATTATTCTCGAGCCTTGCAGCTCGTTTTTATAGTTGTTTACAATTCGTGATTATAAAAATGAATCGCAAGGATCGAATAATCGTCTCTCTTCTCCCTAAATTGTCCATTTTTGTGGACAATTTGTGCGTCGATTAGAGAGACATTACCGTAGTAGTCGCGTAGCAAGTGCGCGAGCCTTTCTTTCTTTCCTTGATTCGTGTAAAACGTTCTTCGAGCATCTGCAAAGGTTAAAGTGGTTTCGGCTAATCGACTTCGGAAAATCACAATCTTGTTTCGGCGAGTGTTCGCAGCGTGCCCCGACATCCTCCCGAGATACAAAAAACAGACATAAACTCGTAGGATCGATACGCGACAAAGAGTGTAAATGTATTATTACACACCTGTAGACTGGAGCTCAATGGCACCACACCATGGTCCTGTGCGAACACAGTCAGCCAGTATCCTCTTTTCGACTCGACGTCGAGCACGGCTCTGGTTCTGATATTGCCTGTAACAGAAAACGAACGAAACGGGTTAGACGTTTTCATGAAATCTGCATTCTCTATAACAATAAAGAGTCGCTTTCATTGATTCTTTTAAAAGACTCTTTTATTCCGATATCAAATGTTTTGGTACCGTAGCAATAATTAGAATGTTCATATTTGCTTCAGCTATATAAATCAGTTGACAATCGGCAGCTATAAAAATGAGCCGCGAGGCTCGAACAATCGCATCTCCTCTCTTCCTAAATTGTCCATTTTTGATTACAAGCTGAAGGAAAATTTGGGAGAATTTACTGTACATATATGCAATCGTTGGTAGGTGTGCATACGAGTGCATACGAGTGCATAAGAACTAAAAACCCCAAAAATATCCACAATATCGAAGTCGCCTGATCAACGAAACCGAAAGTAGAAACTTAAAATGTCCTATAGCAACTAATATTTTAGCTCTTTCGCAGTCTGCAAATCCTAGTAACATTCAGTTTGTTCGAATATATTTAAATAAAAATTGATTTCGCAATCTACTGAAAAAGTTGGTTCCGTTCATATATGACCGACGCGGCACTCAACGCGTCGAAGTAAACGATATTACAGAATATATCGGAACATTATTATTCGAATAATTTTACAATCTCTCGAATTCCGAAATTTAAATCGAATTACGAAATCTCTCGAATAATTTATTCGAATCGATAGGTAGAACAATTTGAATAATGGAATAATCGTTATTCATGAAATCCTCGATTAAAAAGTACTCGTTCGGACGATTGTCTCAATAAATGAAATATTTAAATGGATCATAATAAACGAAAGATAAATATTCATTCTCGAAACAATTCGAATAACTCAGCGAACTCGATTTTCAGAAAAGCTCGGCGAAATGCTTTGCCGAGCGCGAGGTCGAATCCGCGCGGTAATTAAAATCGAATCAGGCTATACCGGACCGGAGCGGGTTTCGAACACGGGTAAAAATCGCGACGATATCAAGGAACCTTTTCACCTGGCCGTTCGATATCGCGCGCGCAGTAGGGAGGCGGGCTGAATGGAAACGGGCCTTTCCGCGGGAGTAATAGAAAAGAAGGCTGGGCGATGGAAAAAATAAGAGGAACTCGGGCTTGGGGAGCGAGACCGCCATAAAGAGAGCGCGGAAGCGAGAAAGAGAGAGAAAACGAGAAATAGAGAGATAGAGAGAGAGGGGGGGGGAGAGAGATGGAGCGAAAACGAGGCGGTATTACCACCTCTCAAGATAACTGGCAACAAGGACCGATATGAAATGACGTGCACGTACGTGGCGAGTTGCCAGCCGCGCGTCGGGATAGCGCAAAAATTGGACTGCATTCCTGGTGTTTACACGTCGAGCACGGTGTTCCGCGTGTCTTCGATCGTTTTTGCGAGATTCCAGCCAGCCTGCCGGCTTTTTTGTCCGTGGTCTGCAGCGTGAATGGGCGCCCGGTTGGTTTATTACGGTATTAATGTAAAAGATAGTCCGATATAAGCTCGCTCGCTCGCGAGAGAAGGGTTGGCGGAGAGAAAGAAAGAGAGAGAGAGAGAGAGAGAGAGAGAGAGAGAGAGAGCGCGGCGAGAAGGAAGAGAGCAGAGGGCTCGATTAATTAGCAATCCGAGATGTTATGTACGGGAGCAGATGTAGATCGTAATCAAGATTACCCCGATTTGTTCTGTCAGTAATTACATCTTCGGATTTCGCCGCGGCGCGCCGCGCCGCGCGCGGCGTCTTCATTAATCCCGATCTTTCGCGTGCCGGCCACCGTTCGCCGATCGATCCCCGTAGATATAGGTGTACGTGCGCGCCGAGGCACGTATATCGGCATAATATCGAGCCGGTTATTCCTTGATATCGATTAATTATCGGACCCCGGGCGAAAATTCCGCGCCGCGGGAACCCGGTGCGTCGGTGTCCGTGATATTTACGGTCCCGTTTCCGTGAAATTCACGATCGTGGAATCGCCCGGTGCCGTCCCCCTTGCTTCGCAGCAGCCCGTAGGCTCGCTTTTTCTCTTAGGGCGAATTTCTGCCCGATGACTCGGCGCCTTTTAACCTTTTACGTACGGCTGAATTCTGCGCGAGGCTATTTCTCTGCTGTCTCTTATACACATCAGATGTGTATAAGAGACAGGATATGTACTGAACAAAGTCTGATACTGTATATACAGGGTGTCCCAAAAATGGCTCGCAATCCGAAAGTGGCGGGTTCCTCGGGCTGTCTCTTATACACATCAGATGTGTATAAGAGACAGGATATGTACTGAACAAAGTCTGATACTGTATATACAGGGTGTCCCAAAAATGGCTCGCAATCCGAAAGTGGCGGGTTCCTCGGGCTGTCTCTTATACACATCAGATGTGTATAAGAGACAGGATATGTACTGAACAAAGTCTGATACTGTATATACAGGGTGTCCCAAAAATGGCTCGCAATCCGAAAGTGGCGGGTTCCTCGGGCTGTCTCTTATACACATCAGATGTGTATAAGAGACAGGATATGTACTGAACAAAGTCTGATACTGTATATACAGGGTGTCCCAAAAATGGCTCGCAATCCGAAAGTGGCGGGTTCCTCGGGCTGTCTCTTATACACATCAGATGTGTATAAGAGACAGGATATGTACTGAACAAAGTCTGATACTGTATATACAGGGTGTCCCAAAAATGGCTCGCAATCCGAAAGTGGCGGGTTCCTCGGGCTGTCTCTTATACACATCAGATGTGTATAAGAGACAGGATATGTACTGAACAAAGTCTGATACTGTATATACAGGGTGTCCCAAAAATGGCTCGCAATCCGAAAGTGGCGGGTTCCTCGGGCTGTCTCTTATACACATCAGATGTGTATAAGAGACAGGATATGTACTGAACAAAGTCTGATACTGTATATACAGGGTGTCCCAAAAATGGCTCGCAATCCGAAAGTGGCGGGTTCCTCGGGCTGTCTCTTATACACATCAGATGTGTATAAGAGACAGGATATGTACTGAACAAAGTCTGATACTGTATATACAGGGTGTCCCAAAAATGGCTCGCAATCCGAAAGTGGCGGGTTCCTCGGGCTGTCTCTTATACACATCAGATGTGTATAAGAGACAGGATATGTACTGAACAAAGTCTGATACTGTATATACAGGGTGTCCCAAAAATGGCTCGCAATCCGAAAGTGGCGGGTTCCTCGGGCTGTCTCTTATACACATCAGATGTGTATAAGAGACAGGATATGTACTGAACAAAGTCTGATACTGTATATACAGGGTGTCCCAAAAATGGCTCGCAATCCGAAAGTGGCGGGTTCCTCGGGCTGTCTCTTATACACATCAGATGTGTATAAGAGACAGGATATGTACTGAACAAAGTCTGATACTGTATATACAGGGTGTCCCAAAAATGGCTCGCAATCCGAAAGTGGCGGGTTCCTCGGGCTGTCTCTTATACACATCAGATGTGTATAAGAGACAGGTTGTAAATCGATGCGAAGACAAAAGAAGTGTGAAGCAATGCGTATGAAGACGATTATTTGGTTCGAACGATGAGCGAGTAGGCTACTAGAGCAAGCCACTATAGTGGCGCGTCGTCCAGAGAGATGACATCCGCGAAAGCCACTATAGTGGTGTGTCGTTCTGAAAGATGACATCCGCGGAAGCCACTATAGTGGCGCGTCGTGCCTAAAAGGTTAAAATGCCGGCCTGGTAATCCTTGGTTCCGTTCGGGCGGCTGCGACACTCGTCGTCGTCGCTCTCCGACGTTATTTTCCCTCGGACGCTCTCGCGGCCGTTTCGATCCAGGTTCTACGGCCAACTTTGCTCGATAGTCGATTCTGTTTTCGTGGCGGAGATCGAGATCGACGTGTGCGCCGAGTGGCTCGAACCGCGAGATAGCAGCTTTCGAAACACTGTCCAACTCTTTTTAGCCGCAGGTGATTTATACCCGCGATGGTGACTGCTTGAAAGACGGTTCTGCGCCGGTGATCCGAATGTGTGGATTTCTTAAAGGTCAGGATGGTTGCATTGTCGTTGGTTGATTTATATTGGACGCGGTTAAATTGTAGAACAGCGGTTGCTGTCGGGGAGAGCCGTTTTGCGAGCAACTCCTCTGGTTATGGCACGTGGTCCGCGCTCGGAAGCTTATGGTGGTTCGGAATGGGTTTTGTCTTGTGGTTGCTCGCGTTCGGAAAGTTCATATTAATCCTTTGCACTCGAAGCTATTTTAACTCTAAAATATGAAATAATTTTTCTAAATTACAGTATTTCTATTTTATATGGCAAAATGCATCTTAGGCACATGACACTTGAGTCTCGCCCAATAGTTACATTCTTAAGAATTTTTTGAATCGAAACTTTGTTAATATAAAAGTTATCTTAAAATTTTAGAGAGATCTCGTCTCTCATTGGTCACTGATTTTCGTTGATAACTCGTAAACGAAGCCGCGGTTTGCATTTTTGCTAAGGAGAAAGTTGCTTCAAATGATCTCGGGAACCCTCCATTTCTGGATTACGAGACATTTTTCAGACACCCTGTCTACTTCAGTAATTTGAAAGGGCACTCGTTTGCTTAACACGACCGAGAACGAGATAGCTTCCAAACGCGTGTGCGAATCGCTGAAATATGGTATTTCCAGGAAGATATACTCGACAGACTAGCTCATAGCTTCTACAAAATTGTCCAGATTATTGTACCAATTCTGAACGCGGCCACGACGATAGCATCCATCACCAAGAGTTACGCCGCGCACGTATTTCTCCGCGAAACGGTGCTTACGTTTTTCCGTTTCACATATTCCCTCCAAAATGGCCGTCATTTACTTTCAACAACTTCCTATTAGTCACCCTGTACGCGCGTGCCGACTTTATTGTCCCTAAGCCGTGAATCTAAGCCTCGAGTTGATTACATTCAACGTAGAATTTATGCGTGCTGCTTCGACGACAGCGTTTAGCGTCGCCGTTGTTGGGCCTCGTTCATTCGATTATTTTCGCTGTTTTATAAGGGATCGTAAAACTTC